CAGAAGAAACCACAAGCAGTGAGGGTGGGGGGTGGCCACTTGGCTCAGTCTCTACTTCTATTCACCAGCATGGAGGTGGACAAAGAGTGAGCGCACCAATTACCCGATACCAAAGAAAACAAATAAATATAAAAATAAATAAAATAAAATAAAATCAGAACGCAAAACTGACTATATTGTGCACCTTTTTCCCAAGGTTCCCGTGGTGTCTCTGCAGCCCCTATTTTCGTCCTGCCACTTCGTCTTGCCCAGGATGTGAGCTCAGGCCTCTGAGCCTGGCCCGGGAGATTCAAAAGTATGCCATTTTTTACTTCAGCTCCAAACTCCACAAGCTATAAGCTCAAACCTTTAAAATATTCCTATCTCTGTGGGTCCGAGTTTTGGAGCTCTGTCCTGGCTCTTGTTTGCCTGGTATTCTGTTATTGTTGACGGTGACATTCACTACACCTCCACCTTAGCCGCCACCAAGCTCTGCCTCTCCTCAAAACATACTACATTTTTGATAAAGCAGAAAAATGTTCACTATTAGCATTATATAGTAAGCTCTACAAAATTGTAGCTCTATCTATACCTACTGAGGAATCCCGGTGAAGCTCTACATTATATAGTAAGTCTACAATATTGTAGCTCTATCTATACCTACTGAGGAGTCCCGGTGAGGCACTGTAGGATAAGCACTGGGCTGCAAGGTCGGTTTGAGCTACAAGGTCATCTGTTCAAACTCACCAGCTGCTTCTTGGAAACTCTATGCAGGATCACTATGAGTCGGAACCAACTCAACAGCATTTAACAACAACAATAATACCTACTGAGGAGTTTTTACCTCTGATGGAATCCAGATTTCTGGATCAATGGTTAGAAGTGACCCACCCAAGCAATCATCCTGCAATAAACCTTTGAAACTTAAACTGTTAGCTGAAACTGGGCTCCTAAAAGTCACCTTCAAATCAAACAATAAAAAAACCCCACCAAATGTACTGTGTCACTGAGTCAATTGTTATTGTTGGTAAGTGCCGTCAAGTCAGTTCCTACTCATAGCGATCCTCTATAGAAATTTCCAAGGAATGGCTGGTGAGTTTGACCTACCAACCTTGCAGTTCAAACTGACCTTGCAGTCTAGCGTATTATCCTGCAGTGCTGCATCAGGACTCACAACGACCCTACATAGATAGGGTTTCTGAGACTGTAAATCTTTACAGGAACAGACATCCTCATCTTTCTCCCAAGACAGAGATGATGGGTTTGAACTACTGATCTTACAGTTATCAGTCAGTGCTTATCCTACAACGCCACCAGGGCTCAAACAATAGTCCAGCATAATTAGCAGAGACCATTTTGCTTTGGGCATTGTGCATGCTGTTTAACAACAGAAAATCAAAAAGTCAGCTTTGACTATGTTTTTAAGTCATGATCTGCATTGTTCTTCAAGAAAATTTCGCACATCCATGTGTTATTACATCAACACGTTGTAGTCCTGGTCCTGGACAATGCATAAATACTAGCAATGAGCTGGAATAGTAAATTTTCTTCTTTGGAACATTGTTGACTTTCTAGTCAGATGTGTTGCCGCAATTTGCAAAGCATATGTTAAACTGTAATCAGTTTTTATTATTGGCTTAAACCTACATGTCTACACTGATATAGCTATGATCTCAACTTTTATAAAAACTTTAGGAAAATAGATCAAAAAGTATTACTTTAAATTTTCAGGCTGAGTTATATCTGGTTAGCATGAGTTTTCTTTATTCTGATATTAAAGATAATGTATACTCCTTATAGTAAATCTGGGGAAAACAGAAAAGTATAAATACATGATATATCACTCTCAGTCCACTGCACATATATGTGTGTGTAGCATTTCTGCTTGTTCAATGCAATGTATAAATAGAAATATATTGCCCACCTACATGTTTTATGGGTTTGTTTTCCCATGCTATTTTCTTTATTTTTTATGCTTATGCTGACGAAGCTGAATTTATCTGAATTATTTGTTAAAAGACAAATCCTCATTCTCTTGCGTGTTTAGGTCAGGTTTACTGCGGTTCAAACCGACCGTATCCTACAGCACCACACCAGTAGTCCAGCCATTACATTGTTGCTGTTGTTAAGGCCATCGAGCCAGTTACAACTCACAGTGACCCTGTATAGGATTTCCAAGCAGTGACCATTATATTGGTGGATGGTTATGGTTATGTGCTATGGAGTTGGACTGACCTTGAGGTTAGCAGTCTGACTTGTAACCACTATACTACCAGAGCTCACTGACTATTGTATTAGCGGTGAGTTAATTAAATTACATGTTCAACCAAATACAGCTAGTTAATCTTTAAGTCGATAATTTTGTATGGCCTGTGAATGATGTTATAAACCTTTTTGGCAGAAAAAAGGTTTCCCACCCCTGCTCTAAAGCAAAGATTAGAAGATAAGCGGGGACGAGGGGGGACGGACAGGGAAATTAGAGAGCAATAGAAATAGAACCACCAGAGAGCAACTAAAAAGAATGTTGACCCATTGTGAAAACCGTTACCAATGTCACTGAATCGTTTGTATGGAAACTGTCCAACAGGAACCTAATGTGAGGTGTAAACTTTGACCCAAACAACAAGTTATTATTTCAAAAAAGATGTTTCCCCAACCTTGCTTTATCCTTTAACCTAGTCCTTATCTTCCCCTTCTCCCACCCTTGTTGGTCACCTAGGCTTCATATGGTCTTAAAAATCACCAGCCCATCGCAGTGGTCATCCACATAATGTTCTTTTAAAAGGATCTCAGTTCCAAAGAGACTAAAGGAACCTAAGACTATGGTTGTTGGTTACCCTTCAGGGCTGAAACTGAACCCACCCTCGTGGCTCAAGTTTCAGCGAAGCAGTAGATAGGCATATGGGTGGGCAACAACACTAGTGAGGTATGCAAACCATAGAACAGTCAGTCATTCAAGATCAAAAGGGCATCATTTATTTAAAGATAAACCTCAGAAGAGCTGTGAAAGAAGATGGAATGGACACTAGAATCACAGGGAAGAAATGGGCCAAATGATGTTACACTGAAGGGATTGCAATCATTGAAATGAAACCAAGTATACGACTTCTTGAATGTAAAATTGATCTGATCTGTAAATTCACAATAAACAAGTATTCTCCATCAGCAGAGTCAGAACTTAGACTTAAGTCTTAGTTCCCCTTTCCTGTCCTCATTACAGTGGCCTTTCCCTCTTGTCCCTTAGCTTCTCCCCCTTCATAAACTTATCTCCTTCTTTTGAATAAAAGTTGTCCTTGCCTGCTTTAACACTGTTCGGTGCAATTTTTTTTCTTTGACTGTAATAAAAGCATCCATTTACCTGTCTGTAAATATTCTAATTGATACAATGTTTTCTGATAATCCATACTTACTCTCTTCCATAATACTTTGGTCTGTTTTCTACCTATTGGGAAAGAAAAAAGAAAATACATTCGTGAAAATGTGAACATATAGAACATAAGACAACATTTGGTATATGTGAGAAACTAACACATATATTAAGAAAATGAATTAAAGTAAGATTAGAGAGCAAAGTCTTGAGTCCCAGTTTTACCAGAAGATACTTTTGCCATCTAAACTGATCACTTCATCTCTATCCACGTATTTCTTATCTATGAAGTACAATATACATAAATAGGATTGAATTAAATTGTTTTTCAAGGAGCCCTGGTAGTGTAGTGGATATGAGCTGGGCTGGTAACCTAAAGGTCCGCAGGTTCAAATCTACCAGTCATTCCATGGGAGAAAGATGAGGTTCTCTACTCCCATAAAGATTTATAGACTCAGAAAAACCAACAATCTGATTTGAGTCACAACAGAATGTGGCTCTGCCTCCCATACTCCTTTGCTACTCCTTTCCTAGCCGGTTACTCCACATTGCCTTTTGTTCTTCCATTAGCTTCCTTCACCACAGTTTATCTTCCCTAAATCTTCTTCACTTACATGATCATATAAAGGGAAGTCAAAACATATTACTGCAAAACCATGAAAATCTTTATGAAACAAAAAAACCAAAACATGAAGCAATTATGTCTTAACATAGCCTCCATCTGTATGGAGCTGCTGGATAAGCACTAGACCTCAAGGTCGCTTTGAACCACACGGTGGTTCAAACATACCAGCCACTCCTTGGAAAGCCCGTACAGGGTCACTATGAGTCAGAACCGACTTGATGGTACTTAATAACAAATAGCAACAGCTCTATACACTTTTGAAAGCAATGTTTCCACCTCTAATCCTCCGAAAAAGAATTCTGCACTCATGTCAAAAAGTAGTTTTGACATCCTTGAGGGACTCAAATTGTGTTCTTTTCTTCAATGTTATTTTGAGTTTAGGGCACAAAAAAGCTTGCAGGGGCAAAATTAAGACAGGGAGCCTAGGGGGCCTCTTGGAAGGTGAAAGCATTAAACACAAGACCTTGCCCATTTTATAGTCTGTTTATTGCTAACGAACCATCCATGAGATTTCTGTATTTTATTTCCTTGTACACCCTCTCTGGCTTTACCCGCATTGGAGGATGACCTTTCCTTGGGGACAGAGGAGAAAGCCAGCCTCTGGAAGGGGCTGAACCTGAGTTACGCATACTCCACATCCCACAATAATCCTACCAGAGGCCTCTGAGACCTGATATGGTGCTATAGGATAATTACTGGATTGCTAACCACAAGATCAAACCCACCAGCTGCTCTCAGAAACACTATACAGAGTTGCTATGAGTCGGAACTGACTTAACAGCAAACAACAACCTGAGATCTTTGCAGTAGAAAACATCTTCAAGAAATGCTGTGCGTGCACCCAATTAGCAATGTTGTTGTTGTAATTGTTAGGCACCATCAGGCTGGCTCTGATTCAAACTTTGTTGTTGTTGTTGTGAAGTGCCATCAAGTCGATTCTGACCCATTGCAACCCTGTATAGGGTTTCCAAGGAGCAGCTGGTGAGCTTGAGCTGCCGACCTTGTGGTTCAAACCAATTTTTCAGTCGAGCACATTAACCCACAGCACCACAATAGGACTGCTTAGGCACAACAAAAGGAAACACTGCCCAGTCCTTGGCCATCCTCACAATACTTGTTACATTTGAGTCCATTGCTGCTGCCACTTGTGCCAGTCTATCTTGTTGGAGGAACTCATTTTTCGCTGACTCTCCACTTTACCAAGTATGATGTCCTCTTCCAGGGACTGGTCCCTCCTGATAATATGTCCCATGAATAAGAGACGAAGTCATGCCATCCTGGCTTCTAAGGAACATTCTGGTTGTATTTCTATTTCCTTTTTTTGGAATAGGGGTTAGGGTTCCAACACTGGTTTTAGGGGGAAGTCATTCAGTCCGTAACAACAAGTTTTGGGGATTTGAGCTCTAACCGAAAGTAACATCAATGGAAAAGTCTACACTCTGTTGCAGGGATGGGACCCTGAGCTGGAGGAAGATCTGGAGAACTAGCTAGCGCCCTATCCCTGTAGCATATGCAGGCATCTTGCCTTGCCCCTTAACCATAATCCATCCCACAGTCATTCTTGTGAAGCTCTGGGTGACCATCCACATGGGCATTTCTCCATGGGTGTGACAGTTCCTCCTGATAATATGCCCATCTTCACTTCTAAGGAGAATTCTGACTGTACTTCTTTCAAGATAGCTTTGTTTGTTCTTCTGGCAGACCCAACCATGCTGTTATTGTTAAGTGCCGTCAATTCGGTTGCTAATGGCAGATCATAGTATATTCAGTATTCTTTGCCACTACCATAATTCAAATATATTGGCCATTTGGTCTTTCTTATTCATTTGTTAGGTCAAGTGCACCCAAAGGTGTTATATTTGCTGTTTAAGGCTTTAAAGAGATCTTTCACAGCAAATTTGCCCACTACAAATATGTTGTTTGATTTTGGATGAATCAAATCCTTGACAACTTCAATAATTACTGTTTATCTTCATGTTGCTTATTGGTCCAGTTGTACAATGAGGTGTAATCCAATACTGAAACTGTAGTCTTTGATCTTCATCAATAAGTTCTTCAAGTTCTCTTTGCTTTCAGCAAGTAAGGTTGTGTGGTCATCTGCATATTGTAAGTTATAAATGATTCTTTCTCCAATTCTGATGATCTTCATATAGTCCAGCTTCTCTGATTATTTGTTCAGCACATAGCTAGATGTAGTCTGGTGTAAGGTTACAACTCTGCCACACATCTTTCTTGATTTTAAACCACTCAGTATCCCCTTATTCTGTTTGAATGACTGACTCTTGGTCTATATACAGGTTCCACATGAGCACAATTAAGCTCATTGGAATTCCCAATTCCTACTCTTTGCAACATTGACCATAAGTTGTTATGAACCATAAGTTGTTATGCCTTTGAATAGTAACTAAAGCAAAGTTAACATCTTTCTGGTATTCTCTGCTTTCAATCAAGATTCATCAGACATCAGCAATGCTATCCTTCATTCTACATCCTCATCTTGAATTTCAATGTGATGTTAACCATTGTTAAATTACCTTTAACAAAACTTGAATTGCATGTAGTATTAATGATATTGCTTAACCATTTCCACATTCTGTTGGATCACCTTTCTTTTCCAGTCAGTTGGCCAGGTAGCCAATCTGTTTCCTGGGATAAATGAGTGAATGCTTCCTGCGTGGCATCTGTTTGTTGAAACATTACAATTGTTGTTCCATCAATTCCTGGACTCTTGTTTTTCCCCAATGCCTCCATAGCAGCTTCCTTCAGCACCACTGCTTCGTGATCACATGCTACATCCTGAAATGGCTGATCATTCAACCAATTCTTTTTGGTATGGTAGCTATGTATTTCTTCCATCTTCTTTTGACATTTCCTGCATCTTTCAATGTTATATCCATACAATCAATAGTCTTGCAATAGTCCCCAAAACCAGTATTTTTGTTTTTAATTTGTCCATCCTCCTTCCTAGCCCATTTTCCACAAAATATAAGAATACGCTATCTAAGCCTAAATCTGATCACATTTTTCTCCTGCTAAAATGCTCCAGTTTCTTATAGTAAATAGGATAAAGTCAGACACACATGCACACAAATACATTGTGGCATAATCACTGGACCACAAGATCAGTTTGAACCACAAGGATGATGATTCAAACTCACCAGTTGCTCCCTAGAAATCCTACACTGGGTCACTATGAGTTAGAACCAGCTTGACAACACTTCAAAACAACTATGTATCTATCTACCTATCTATCTATCTATCTATCTATCTATCTATCTATCTATCTATAAAGTATGGTCAGAATGAGTCCCTGAGTCTGGGGGCTAAGGACCATGGTCTCAGAGGACACTAAAGTCAACTGGCATAACATAGTCCATACACATGTTCCACATCCTACTTTTTTTGAGTAGCAACTATGGGTCTTAAAAGCTTATGAGGACTTCCAGCAAGATGGCGGAGTAGGCAGATGCACTGCATGGACCCTCACCAACAAATGCATGAGAGACAAAACAAAAACAGCTACAGATGAAAATTCTGGGACACTATGAAGAAGAACAAGCTATGAGTGACTGAAATTTCAGAACAGGAGTGATAAGAAAATAGAAAATTGTCAAAGAGTAGCTGGAAAAAAACTTCCCTAGCATCATGAAAGACGAGGAGATTTACATACAAGAAGCTGAACAAACCTCAAATAGGATAGATCACAAAAGAAAATCACTAAGGTATATCATAATCAAATTCCAAATTTAAAGATAAGGAAAGAATAGTGAAATCAGGTCCAGAAAAACGCAAAGTTACCTACAAAGGAAAATCAGTAAGACTAAAACTCTAATTTCACAGCAGAAACAATGCAGGCAAAAAGGCAGTGGAATGACAAATACAAAATTCTGAAAGAAAAAGATTGCCAACCAAGAATCATATACACAGCAAAGCTGTCTCTCAAATGCAACAGCGAATTTAGGACATTTCTTGATAAACAGAAATTAAAGGCATTTGTGATGACCAGACCAACTTTACAGAAAATGCTAAAGTGTGTGCTTAGGACTCAGAACATACAACAGGAGACAACAACCTGCGTTTACCATACATGACAATAACACCCAGAAATCAATCTAGATATACAAGTATTTAAAGAAAAACAAACCTCAAGACTGAAAATAGCGAACCAGAGATATCAATATATGATGCAGTCACCTACAAAGGGAGTTCTGGTGTGGCACTGTGGGTTAATGTGCTGGAATGCAAAGTCAATTTGAACCACAAGCTCACCAACTGCTCCTCGGTAACCCTATATAGGGTTGCTATGAGTCAGAACTGGCTCGAAGGCACTTAACAACAACAACAAAGCAAAAAAAAATAAATAAAAAGAGAGAGCGAGAGAAAGAATACTGTAGGTACAGAACTTTCAAATGGCAAGAAATCAAGTAGATTTCAACATAAAAGACACAAAATGAACTCAGCATAGAAAATTATATGGAACACAGAATCCACACACACAAACACAAAGAAACCCCACAGAAAAATGCCATCAATTCATACCTATTAATAATTATACTAAATGTAGACAGATTAAACGTACCAGTCAAAAGACATATACAGCAGGAAGGAAAAGAAAACAGGATCCTTCAATATGGGGTCTATAAAATACATATAAAAAAGATGGAGATAGCCTAAGTGCCCATCAACAGAAGAATGGTCAAAAAACTTTAGCACATACACACAATCGAGTACTACAAAATGTTGAAGAATAATGATGAATCTATGAAACACCTCACAACATAGTTGAACCTGGAGGACATTAGTCACAAAAGGATTAGTATTGTATGAGACTAACATTATAACTAGCCGCTCCACGGGAGAAAGATGAGGCTTTCTACTCCCGTAAGGATTTACACCCTCGGAAACCCTGTACAGGGTCGCTATGGGTCGGAACCGACTCGAAGGCACTTAACAACAACAACAACAACATTATAACAAGCTTAAAAAAAAAAGTTTTCTTGATAAAAGAAACAATCTATGATGGTTGCAAGGGGGAAGAAGGGAAAACTATGCATGGGCTAGACACATGTCAACATGGGTGAATGGGTGACAGGGCAGGCAACATACAACAAGAGGGAGGTTAACAAAGGAAAGATGAAGGTAGTGGCAGACACAGAGAGGAATGCAATAGTTAAAGTGAATAGAGGCAAACGCCATTAACTGTTGGTACATGGAGGGGATTGCAACCATGTAGTGAAGCAAAATGTGTGGTTTATTGAATATAAAACTTACGATCTATTCTGTAAACCTTCAATCAATTCATAATAAAAAGTTTATTTAAAAAAAAAAAGCTCATGAGTACCCATTTAAGGTACAACTATTGATCTCTTCAGTCTGAAGGAAAGAAGAGTGATGAAAACTGAAGAAACAAAAACAGTCAGTCCAATGTACTAATGGACCATGCAAACAAAAACGCCCACACTTGCAGATATTACCCACTTGACCTGGCTTCAATGGATGGATGATCAAAACTCGACTAGAGGAAGAAAGAAGAGGAAAAAAAAAAGAGTAATCTGATACAATTTGATAAACTTGACCTATACTTATGGATGCAGCAGCTTAAAACAGGGAACAAATCTTTATAACAAGGATCATTCCCACCCCTTCTGTACACAGGGTTGACAGGGATGGGCAACTTAGACACTGGCTACCCAAAATGGGGGGGAGGGGGGCTACAAAGGCATGAAATGACTGGCTTACAAACTTTCAAGAGGGAGCCTAGTTTCAGAGGGTGCGGAAAAAGGCACAATCTCCACGAAGTGGTTTCCAACCTGTCTAGACAGAACTGGTGAAAGGAGATGGGGATAAGACTCTTGTGGTTCAATAGTGAATAATTGCTATCAGGACTGACTGTGAATGCTGCAAATGTAAAGGCAGACGTTTTGTAACCAAAGGAGGGAAGTGGTTGATCTTGCAGTCCAGGAGCGGAGTACCCTGCGACCATCAAGGGAGAAGAACGGAGTGCGGAACCCTAACCAGAGAAGCAGCAACGCCAGAGATGGAGGCAGAGACAATGACTTGGAGAGATGGAGCAGCTGGGGACTCTAGACTCAAGGATGGAGAAGGGCTGGGTGCTGGTGGCTAGGGGTCAGGTTTGCGGGGTGTAATCCATATATGAATGGTTATATATTCCTGAGTGTTTCAGTGTACATCCAAAAAAAAAAAAACAGAGGGAATGGAAGCAAATGCTGTTGGATGATACATGGAGAGGATTGTTATCATTGCAACAAAATGAAGTATGTTCTCCCATGTAAACTATCATTCAATTCACAATAAAAACTTAAAAAAAGAAAGAAAGGAGGAGGAGTGGAAGCAGGAAACACGGGGAGAAAGTGGGATAAGAGATGCTACATTGTGGGGATTGCAGTCACTGAGATGAAACAGAGCATGTATGGATTACTGATTGAAAGGCTGATCTACTCTGTAAATCTTCATCCTCATCCAATTCATAATAATAAGTTAAATAGAAATTTTAGAACGTATTCTCAGAGAAGTCTTACTCTCAACCTTGTGTCCTGCACACTGTCCTCTCCCCTCCACTATGGATAATCATTTCCACTGGTTTCTGGATAATCCTTCCTGTGTTTCTCTTTTGTAAAAAATAAACTATGTTATACTAACCTGACATTTTGTATTGGGAAATTCTTCAGTCTGGTTCATAGAGATTACGCTTATTCTTTTCAGTACTATATTTTATTCAATAAAAACCTACAAGCACATATTACTCCGTATTTGTACAGGTAACTAAACATCATGGTAAATTCCTAGAACCTGCACTGAGTAAATGCAGATATAGCTGTGTTGTTGTTAACTGCCGTCGAATCGATTCCAACCCATAGCAACTCTATGTAGGGTTTCCGGGGAGCAGCTGGTGAGCTTGAACCGCCGACCATGCAGTTCAAACGGCTTTGCAGTCTGGCGCATTAACCCACAGCGCTACACCCGCTTTGTTAGATACTGCCAAATTCTCCTGAAGTAGTTGTCTTATTTATCTAGTGGAGTCCTGGTATATCACTGTAGGATAAGCACTAGACTGCTAAGTACAAGGTCAGCAGTTCAAGTCACCAGTTGCTCCTCAAAATCCTTTAGGGGATCACTGAATCTGCATCATATAACAAAAATAGCAGAAGTAGATGACTTTAACAAACTAAAAACATTATTTCCTCAAAGTTGGATGCTGTTGTTAAGTGCCATGGAGTTGGTTCCAACTCATATTGACCCTATATAGGGCTCCCTAGCGTGGCTAGTGTGTTTGATCCGCCAGCCTTGTACAGTGCTTATCCTACAGCACCACACCAGGAATTCCCAAAGTCTTGAAGGCTGCTGTTGTTAGGTGCTATCAAGTCAATTCTGACTCAAAGCGACCTTACGCACAACAGAATGAAACACACTGCCGGGTCCTGCACCATCCTCACAATTGTTAAGCCTGAGGCCACTGCTGCTGCCACTGTGCCAATCCATCTTGTTGAGTGTCTTCCTCGTTTTCGCTGACCTTCGCCATAACGTGCTGTGCTTCTCCGGGGACTGGTCCCTCCTGACAATATGCCCGAAGGATGAGAGACTTCATCTCTCAATCTTGGCTTCCAAAGAGCATCCTGGCTGTACTTCTTCCAACATAGATTTGTTTGTTCTTCTAGCAGTCCACGGTACTCACGAAATTTGTCTCTAACCCCAGGAGGCTAGAAGTCTGAATTCATGGTGCAGGCACTATGGGACAGAAGGCTACCTCTCTGTTAGTTCTGTGGAAAGATCCTTGTCTCCTTTTAGCTTCCGCTGCTAGGTTCCATGGGAACTTATGAGCATCTACCCCTCCCTTTTGTACCAGCTTACTTGCTTAATATGCTCTTTAAACATAACAAAACAAATCCTTTCCCAAATGAGATCATAACCACTGGCAGAGGGGTCAGGATTCACAACACATATTTTGGGGGAGCATGAGTCAATCCATAACATTAGTACCAGCTTATTCCGAAGGGTGAGAGTGCCTGCTGCCTCAAAGTGTATTCTTAAACTTGTGAACTTTTACTAGTATATATATAAGTAAAGATGATCAGATCTCTCCTATGTATTTTAATTTGCATTTTTTGTACTGTGAGAAAAGTTGAACATCTTTTCGTAATCTGTTATATATTCTATCTGTTTGGTGAACTGTTTGTTCATTTCTTTTCATTATTTAAAAAAATATGACTTGAATCTTTCCCCAATGAAAAAAACATGATTTAATAATATTACATCAAAGTCTTCAAACTCTGTGTCAAAAGATAAAAGAATAAAACAAAAAAATTGCAATGGAAAAGCAACATGTGAATTAACTGAAAACATTACTAAAATCACTTAAAACTATAGTCATATACTTTACATTGTGTTCTAGACAGTAAATTAAAAGTAGCTCTGTAAAGCAAGATGAATATATTTTTAAAGTGTTCAATAATTTTTTAATGCCAACCAGCATATATGGATAAGCTCACAAATCAGCACGTCACTGAGGAAGGTCAACGTTTGGGAAGCAGATGATTTAGGGTCGCTGCACTGTACTCACCTCATTCGTGCAGGTTAACCTTCGAGGATGAGGAGCTTCCTGTTGCAGCTGGTATACTGCAAGGAGACAGAAAATAAAAATGTCAGTTTCCCTTACGAAGAACTTTGAATATGTTAGGATCACAAATATCAAACCGTGATATTCTTGACATCTCCCTCCATCTAGGTCTCTATCCTTCCAAAGGTAGCATTAACATCTCTCTAATCTTTCCCCCAAAGAATTCTGTGCTCTTTGATTTACACCCTTGGCAGTTTTGGCATTCTCAAATCATGGTCCTTTTCAATGTTCTTTTGAGTTTTAGGAACAAAAAGAAGACTGAAGGGGAAAGATCAGGTTTGTAGAGTAGATTGGGTAAGGTTTCCCCAAAAAATTTTCATAGAACAGCCCTGAAATACTAGCATTGTCATGATGGGAAAAAAATTCCTCAGAGCAACTTGTTTGGCTTTTTCCTTACCAATGTAGCTTTTATTTATAATAGCTTCTTCATAGCAAGCCCCCGTGATTATTCTGTGAGAAAACCTATCAAGATTACACCCCTTTGGGATCCTAAGAAACTGCAGCCATACCTTCTGAGCTGACCTCTCAGCCTTGAATTTAACTGGCTCAGCAGATCCCTTCAAAGCCATTGTTTTGAGACTAAAACAAGTATATGACTGCAGCCATCCCTGACTGCAGAGACACATGTAACACATTTTGTTTATAATAAACCAGTGCGTGTATGAATGAGAACCCTAGCAGCAGCAATTTTTTACCTACCCTGGTATAGGTATGTGAGTTGCCCTCACGTTGATTCTGACTCATAGTGACCTCATGTATGCAGAGTAGACTTGCTTTTAAAAGTTTTCAAGGCTGTCACCGTTCAGAAACATAGCCAGGTAAGTCTTTTGCAGTGCCTCTGGGTAGATTCAAACCACCAGCCTTTCAGCTCATTAAGCTCAACTGCTTTCGACACCTCGTGTGTGTGTGTGTGTGTGTGTGTGTGTGTGTGTGTGTGGTGTGTATGTGTAAAATACAGGATCACACATCAGGTTCTATGTTGTTATGTACAAGCAATAGAGTTTTGCAGTTAAGAATCTGAACTCTTAAACCAAACCACCTGGGGTTTGAACACTGGGGCTCTGCCACTAACATTATGTAATATTTCCCTCATCAGTAAAATGGGAGTAATAGTAGTTTCTACTTCATAGATTCGTGTAAGGGTTAAATAATTTCCTGCATGTAAAAGATTAAAACTAGTAGCTGGCACTCAACAAAGACAGTTGTTTTTTGTTGGTTAGTGCCACTGAGTTAGTTCCAACTCACAGCGATCCTGTAGAGGGTTTCGAAGAGCGACTGGTGGATATAAACAATCGACCTTGCAGTTCAAACCAACCTTGCGGTCCACTGCTTATCCTATAGCGCCACACCAGGACTCCCAATAATGATTAGCTATTTTTATATGTAGATAAATCATTGTCCTACATAAAATTCTTGATAATAATTATTTAGCTATTAGGATGCATCTTTAGCTTATTACCAAAACATAACACCAGGGTAGTACTATACTTCAAACAGAACTGAGAATATATAGCTTTCCTGTTTAAAAATGGAAAAAACGAAGCACTTCCTCAGGTTCCTCATGTTTAAAAACCCCAATGATAGAAACTCCTTTTCCTCCTGGTGGCAAAAATCCCTAAAATACAGCCATGTACCATGTAATGTCTGTTTGAGCAACATCTATCTGCATATGTGTTTGTGGTCCCATAAGGTTCTAACATAATTCAGAAATTGAGCTGGTAGGTGGATATATAAAATGGTGCAGTACATATGCTGCTGGTGTTGAGTGCTGTTGAGTCGGTTCCCACTCAGAGCAACCCTGTATAGGGTTTCTGAGGAGCTGCTGGTGAGTTTGAACCTCTGACCCTGTGATTCAAATCGATCTTGTGGTTCAGTGTTTATCTTAACAGTGGCCACACACAGTACATATATAACCTATAAAACATGGGCCTTGATAGTCATAATACATGCCTATGTTACTGGTTTATGCATGCACGGTTCTTTCTTTTTACAAAGTTTACTGTACAACAGTGTATGCTTTGACTTGTATGCAGCAGCATCCAGTCTCATGTATTGCACATCTTGTGTGTCACAGTGTTAGTCTGTTACAATTTCTTTTGAAAATATTTCTGTGAAGTGCATCATGGCTCCCTAATGCAGCAAAACTAGTGCTGGTGATAGCAGCAGCAAGAGACAAAGGAGAAGTTATCAATTTGGAAGTGAAACAAAAGGCTGTTAAACAACACACAGGTGGAAAATCAGTGAATGTTATTACAATTTTAGCATGTCAACAACTATGACAATCCACAAAAGCAAAGAAAACATCTCCACGCTGTTAAAAGATCAGTTCCACTGAAAGCTACAAGGCTAATGAAAATGCAAGGGAACCCTATCAAATATGACGTGGAGCGAGGACAAAACACAAAGGTGAATCCCTCTTAGCAGGTTAATGATCACTGCCAAGGCATGAAGCTTCTTCAAGATGCACAAAGAAAAGGTAGGAGCAAACTAGGATATGGTATTTTATGGAACATATTGTAGATTTTAAGCAATACATGATTGTAGTTTTTTATGTATCCATATTTCATTGAGTTTATTTAAAATATTTCTATAAATATGGTTTCATAAATTACAAAAAAAAATGAAGAAATGAGGATGGGAAGAAGGAGAGTACCATGGCTCTGAGAGTGACAGTTCAAGTATCACCCAAAGATTCATGTAAATCTACATTCTCCAAGCCAAATGTAATTGCAAGAAGGGAGGATTTCCCAGGCTCCTTCCCCCATACTGGTAACTATTACCACGAATATGGAAAATTTAGTTCACGCTTGTTTTGATCAATTATCAAAGGATGAGTTGTTTGGAACTGTGACAAGAAAATGCTCTGGAAATTAACCTTTGGAAATCCAATAATGAGAACTGAATAGTAGTCAAGAAGGACATTAAAAGTTACTAGAAAAAGTAAATTTAAAATTTTATTCAAGGTACAAATACCTCACATCTGGTTATCATCTGTAAGTCTATCCAGTAAGCAAATAATAAAATAAGTCAGTATGAAAAAAGGGATGATAATACCTTCCCCCATGAGAAGTGGTCCAGATGTCACCCTTTATTTTAGTCAAAGGGTATAATTCTATCTCACAGAGAGGAGTTTTTCTAGACAAATGCCTCCTGGCTGGCTACCAATGGTGAGTCTATTTTTAAGACTCACTTTTAATAAGCTATCTATAAATTATTACAGGTATGCATTGCTCAAGATTCACAATGGATTCTGTGAAATACAACATAGTAAGATTTGGACATTGTGCAAACGCCATATTAAACCTTATGTGAACCTGGTTCCAGACGTCCTTGTCACCCATACTAGCCCTGCTGCTGCCACTGTTGAAGCTGCTTATATGGAGGCTGGAGGAATGAATGGCTGAGGGGGTGAGGTGAGCAAACTGAGAGGAAAATGGTAGGGTGTACCCAGCCCAACTCACTGTTCTGCCGCATGAGCAGGAAGAGCAGCCCCCATTGCCACCTGCTCCCCAGACAAAGCCAAAGAGCCCATACCCAGAGCCATGTCCTTAACCTCACCGGCCTGTGATCTCACCCATGGCCCAGTGCTGCAAGACTCTGGTTTGGGGGTCTTTAAAGCATTCCCCGTTGCCATCCAGTGGATTCAAACTCATAGTGATTCATACAGGGTTTCTGAGGCTATAAATTTTAACTGGAGCAGAAAGCTTCATCTTCTTCCCTTGAAGCAGCTGGTAGGTTTGAAATGCTGACCTTGAGGTTAGCAGTCCAGTGCTTATCCTACAGCATCACCAACATTTTTTTTTTTTCATTTAAACATTTTATTGTGAATTGAGTGAATGTTTACTGAGCAGGTCATCAGCTTCACATTCAACAAATCATATACTATGTTTCATTATAATGATTGCCATTCCCTCCATGTATTAACAGCTACTAATATTTACCTCTAGAGTCCTGGTGTGGCGCTGTGGGTTAATGCGCCAGATTCCAAAGCCATTTGAATGGCAAGGTTGGTGGTTCAAGCTCACCAGCTACTCTTCGGAAACCCTATACAGGGTCGCTATGGGTCAGAAGCGACTCGATGGCACTTAACAACAACAACATTTACCTCTATTCACTTTAATTATTGTATTCCTTCCTGGATCTCCCTATACTTTCATCTGTTCTCTGCTAACTTCCTTCTTGCTATATATTGTCTGCCCTGTCTCCCATGTTAACGTGTGGCTACCCTCAAGCCCGTAACTAATTTTACCTCTCCACCACCTGGTAATCATCCTAGATTGTTTTCTTTATTAAGAAAACCTTTTCCTAACCTTTCACAACATTCGTCTCATATAATATTTGCCATTTAGTGACTAAGTTCACTCAGCATAATATCCTTCAGGTGCATCCATGTTGTAAGGTGCTTCACAGACTCTCTGCTATTCTTCACTGTGTGCATGCACTAAAGTCTGTTCAACCATTCTTCTGTTGATGGGCATATAGGCTAGACTGTCTCCATCCTTTGGATGAGTCTCTTGAAGACTCCATATTGAAGGATCCTGTTTTCTTTTCCATTCTGCTGTTATCTGTACTGGTGCATTTAATCCATTTACAATCAATATAATTCTCAATAGGTATGAATTGATGCCTGTCATTTTGCTGTGTGTGTTGATTGTGGTGCTGCTGGCTTCTTTAGTCCACATCATTTTCTATGCTGAGTTCATTTTGTGAGTTTTCCTTTTATTTTCATTCCTGTTGTGCTACTGCTTACTAACCCTTTCTGATTTTCCTCTTTTGAAAATTTTGATGTGAAGTGTATTCATTTTACTTGAGGTTGTTGTTGTTGTTAAGTGCCGTCGAGTCGTTATTTGTGGTTACTCAGTATAAATTGATTATCTCTGGTTCCCTGTTTTCAGCCTTGTAGGTTTGTTTTACTTTTAATACTTCTATATCTGGATTGAATTCTGGCTGGTGTTGTCCTGTATCATAATCTCAGGCTGTTGTCTGTTGTTGTTAGTTC